CAACTCCCTGCTCCTTGCGGGACTACCTAAACTAAATCATATGATAAGCGCATCGTCCAGTGCTCCTTGAACTCTGACAGGCTTGGTGCGGTGACCACTTCCCCGGGGAGCCTGTTCCAGGGACCACTACTCTCTCAGTAAAGAAGCTTTTCCTAATGTCCCACCTGAACTTCACCTGACACAGCTTCATTCCAACTCCTCATGTTCTGTCGCTGTCACCAGAGAGAGGAGATCAGCACCTCCCCCCTCCGCTGCCCCCCTGGAGGAAGTTGTTGACTGCGATGAGGTCACCCCTCAGCAGTGAGGTCACCCCTCAGCGATGAGGTCACCCCTCAGCCTCCTCTTCTCCAACCTGAACAAGTCAAGTGACCTTGTAAGTCTTGGCCTTGACGCTTTTCACAATCTTGGTCACCCTCCTCTGGACACACTACAATAGTTTGATGTCCTTCTTACATTGAGGCACCCAAAACTGCACCCAGGACTGAAGGTGGGGCAACACCAGTGCCGTGTAGAGTGGGACAATCACCTCCCTCGCCTGGCTAGCAATGCTGTGCTTGGTGCGCCCCAGGACATGGCTGGCCCTTTTGGCTACCAGGGCACACTGTTGACTCATATTCAACTGGCCATCGACCCAGACCCCCAGATCTCTTTCTGTGGGGCTGCTCTCCAGCCTCTTGTCCCCGAGTTTGTACGTGTAACCAGGATTACCCCATCCCAGGTGGAGAATCTGGCACTTGCTTTTGTTAAACTTCATAGGGCTGGTTATTGCCCAGCTCTCTAGCCTATCCAGATCTCTCTGTAAGGCCTTTCTACCCTCAAGGGAGTCCACAGGTCCTCCTAGTTTAGTATCGTCAGCAAACTTAATGTACCTTCCATTCCCATGTCCACATAATTTATAAAAACATTAAAGAGCACCATCCCTAAAATTGAGCCCTGGGGAACCCCACTGGTGACTGGTGACTGGCCACCAGCCTGATGTGACCCCGTTTACGATAACCCTGTGAGCCTGACCCGTCAGCCAATTGCTCACTCAATGTGCAATGGACTGGTGCAGCTGTGTGCTGGACAGTTTGTCCGTAATGATACTGTGAGAGACAGCACCAAAAGCTTTGCTAAAATCCAAACCCACCACATCTACCAGCTTCCCTTGGTCAACTCAACGGATGACCTTGTCATAAAAGGAAATTAAGTTGGTTGAACAGGACTTTCCCCTCATGAACCTGTGCTGGTTATGACCAATGACTGCATTGTCTCTCAAATGTTTTTCAGTAACTCGCAGAATAACCTTCTCCGTCATTTTACTGGGTACTGAAGTGAGACTGACAGGCCTGTAACTACCAGGCTTTTCCTTCTTACCGTTCTTGAAAACTGGGACAACATTTCCCAACTTCCAGTCGACTGGGACCTCTCGAGATTCCCAAGACTGTTAAAAAATAATGGAGAGGTCCTGTGATGGCATCAGCCAGCTTTTTCAGCACCCTAGGATGAATCCCACCAGGCCCCATAGACTCATATGCATCCAGCTGGAGCAGCAAGTCTTGAACAAGCTCAGTGTTGGCTGGGAGTTTATCATGCCCCCGGGCATGGTTGGCCAACATAGGAGTGTGGTGATCCCAGGGCCCACCATCGGTGTTGAAGATAGAGTTGAAGAAGGTGTAAGCATCTCCACTTTGTCTACGTCCCTATTTGTGAGGTGACCGTCCTCATCAAACAATGGATTAGTGTTATTTCTGAACCTCCTTTTGCTGTCAACATATTTTTAAAAGCCCTTTTTGTTGTCCTTCGCAGTGCCAGCCAGCTTTAGCGCTAATCCATCTTTGGCCACATGAATTTTCTCCCTATGGTGGCGAAAAACTCCGTAGTCCTCCCGCATCACCTGTCCTTGCTCCCAACATCCGTACGCTTTTCTTTTCCACCTCAGTCCTACCAGCAGATCCTTGCCCAGCCATGCCAGCCTTCTGCCCCACTGGCTTGACTTCCCACACTTACCGAACCATGCCATGTTGATGGTCTGCTTGGAGCCCAGCTCCTGCCCTGGTGGCACTGCTGTGGTGCCAGTGCTGCCACAGTAGCCAGCCGGGACCTTCAGCATGGGAGAGCAGGAGTTGCTGGTGAGCCACTGGTGGGGAGAAGCTCATTAGAGGCAGAAGGTTAATTATATCAGGGGAGCAGGTTGGTTTTGGGCCACGCTGAACCAGCTGTGTCCTTGGAGTTTGGCACTGCTGGGGATGCTCCCTCCTGCTCTGGGCTGCGAAAAAGAGTAAGCAAAAGGAAATGTAAAAGCTCTCTTGATTTAATCTGCTCATCCGCATACACTTCCTTTTCTGCTGCCTCAACTATCTGGAGTGGCTGATCCCATCGTGGTAGTGCTGATGCTGAGAGCTGCCCTGTGCCTAAGGTAGGGGCTTTGCTGGAGCGAGGGGGGGTGCGGGGGTCTGGCATGGCACTGGAGGGGCTTGCTGGGGTGCTGAACTGCTCCTCACAAAGGCAATACCCACCCAAAGTGACACCCATGCCCTGCCATTTCTGGAGGGTGCAGCAAGGGAATGATGCCCTCTCTAGCTCGATGGCAGCGGGGATGGTGTTTGGCATCACCAGGCTGCGCCAAGTGGCAGGGGAGGTCGGGCTGAGCGCCTGCATCAGGCACCCTGGGTATCTGAGGGTTATGTCGGTGAGAAGTGAAAGGGTTCTTTATTGTGAAACATCCTGAAAGGGACGTGGTGGCTGTCCCTCGCTGGGGGTCAGAGGGCAGCCTATGCAGGCAGCTGCCCACAGCGCTGCTGCTCCTGCCCTGGGAGGCTCCGGCTGCATTGGCCATGGCCAGCCTCAGCGCCTCAAAGCATCAATCCCATCACTGCATCCACAGTAAAACCATTTGTATGGGGGGGTGCACCCTGGCACCACTGCACTCACAGCCCCTCTCCCCAACTACTTTTGGTGCTAGTGGGTGTTACCGTGGCGGGCGTTGCTGTGAGTGGCACTGGATGCAGTGTTGCAATGGATGCAAACCTTGCTGCCAGCCACCTTCCCCCCACCCTGTGCTGGGGATGCTTCCTCCTCCCCAGCTCAGTGCTGGGCCACTGCCAGGAATCGCGGGCACCACGGTAGATCATGCCGGCGACCCTTCTGGCTTGTAGGCTGCTTGCTGGGGATCTGCAGCCACAGGCTGGGATGGCAGTGAGGTCTTAGTCCCTGTTGGGGCAGGTGGGGGGAAGGAGGAAACCTTACTGCCCGCGGTTTTACAACCGTAACGGTAAAATGGATGCAAAGGGCATCTCGCACCCCAGTTGCTGTGGCAAACAGCCTCCACCTCGCCCTGCTGCTGGCGCAGCTGCTTGGTGCTTCTGGGCTGCAGCTTTGCCACCATGATGGCTTTAGTGGGGCTTGGCTGCTGGGGGTGGGGGCAAGCCGCCAGGACCCCATCTTTGTCCTGCACCCAGCATATGGGAAAGGGCCAAAGTCCCAGGGGATGTGGGTGGGGGGATCCAAGGAGCTGCTCTGGTACTGGGTGCCTTTTGCAGGAGAGGACCATGGCGATGCCCACCCCTCTGCTCATTGCCCTTGTCCTCTGCCTCACCAGCCTGTGTCCTGGGGGCTCAAGGTAGGGACATCTCCCATCCTGGTGTTGGGCTGGGTGCTTTCGGTGCTGTTTGGGGCTCCCAGGGCTGGGGTGGGCTGGAGAGCGCGGCAAGGTGCTGCACACCAAGGCTCAGCTCCCAAAACAGCTCTGTCACAGCTGGAGAAGAGCAACATGGACACCCTGGAGAAGGAGCTGCAGCAGGGCTGCGGCAGCACCCACCATGCGACGGAGAGGTGAGCCCCAGCTCCCACCCCCCTGTCCCTCAGACCCCCCCAGACCCACAGGGGCCAGATCCTGCTGCACCCTGCCCTGAACACCCTCCCCGTGCAGGTTAAACAGGCTGGAGGAGAAGCTGACCCGCCGGGAGAAATCCAACTTTATGGGCTGTGTGGTCGAGACCTACGTGTTCAAGTTTATGACTGAGCACTTCAGAGGGTTAAACCTCAGCAGCAGGATGGTTGGTCTCCACCCCTGCCACTGCTGGGGCTATTCCTGTACCCCCTGGGCCTCTCCACATCCCCACCCCTTCCCTGGGGAGGTGCCGGGGGGTGCTGGGGTGGCTGACATTTGCTCACACTGGGTTTCTGTCATCCTCCAAGGATGCTTTATGCCAGAAAAGCCTTCTGAGATGTGGCTCTGCCAGGGTGTTGCAGGCAGCCATGACTGCAGGTCCCCAGCACTGTTGCTGGGATAAATCCAAGGGCTTCTAAAGCCGGTGGGGTTCTGCAGCCGAGAGGCAGGATTTCCATCCTGAAGCTCTTCTGATTTATGAACAGGGAAGCCCTGGCCCCCACCTCCCCACCATGGGAAGGGAGAGGGAAACCGTGGTGGGGAGCATGCGGGGCTACTTCCCTGTCCCAGTGCAAGGGGGTCGTGCAGAGGCACCGTGGCACTTCCTCCCCAGCCATGGGGCTGCCCTGACAGGGAAGTCCAACCGCTCCGGCCCGAGGTCCCTTTGTGCAGGACAAGGCAGGTTCTGGAGGCAGGGGTGCCTGCCTGCCAGCTGGAACCCCTTTCTCAGGACCTGGGAGCCGAGGCTGTCTGAGGGAGCTCACCAAGGTGTGAAATCCCACTGGGAAAGCAACCCGGTGCGACGCCATCTGCCCTGTGCTCTCTCCACAGCAGGGCCAGCGCAACAAGTGTGCCCACCCCTGGGTGATGGATCCCCCGTCCGTGTGCTATGGGCTGGGAGGGCTCTGACATTGAGACGGGAGTGGCTGCTGCTGCTGGAACTGCCACTGGGGCCAGGGAATGCTGTGGGGCCACATTGGTAACTGGGGTGGCTGTGCTAGGAGGAGCAGCCAGGGCAGCACCCTGACCCCACTCAAGCCAGCCGAGCATGGGGTGGCCAAACTCATCTCTCCCCTGCCCAACGGCGCAGGATGCAAAGCCGGGTGGTGGTAGGAGGCTCAGGCACGCCATGAACTTCCCAGCGGAGTTTGTGGAGGGTGTCTGGGCAGGGGGAGTGGAGCAGGACCTTGTCTGCGTCTACATCCACAGCCCCTGCATCTTCTAGGTGAGCAGCAGGTCCTTGCATGGACCCCTCAAGCATCCTTAACCAGCAGCATGCCTGCCCCATCACGCACTACCTGCTGCTCAGGATGGGTGGGATGTCCTGGGGACCCAGGACTCTCCCTGCAGGCACCCTGGCTCTTGCAGGATGCCCACAACAGCTCCTTGTTGAACAATGACATGCTGGAAGTTTTCCTGAAGAGCAGGCGCGTGTTCGGGCTCAGCTGCCCTATGGAGATCCAGTTCTGGCATGACATGATGCTGGTGAGAAGGACTCCACTGCAGGCATGAGGTGGAGAGTCCCCAGAACTGGTGTTTCCCCTGGAGTTGGGGAAAGAGAAAGTGTCCACTCTTTGTATTGGGACCAGAAGGTTTCTGGGGTCTCTGGGGAGCAGAAAGGGTCCACAGCTTTTGCCCTCTGTCTCCTTTCCACCAGGATCCCTCCAATGCCACCTGCATCTTCTGGCAGCTCAGAGTCAGTAAGTGTGGCCGTGGCCAGGACCGGGGCAATGCCAGCTCAGTGCCACCCCAAAGGCTTCACCCATCTGCCTCGTGGGCAGCCCTGGCAGGGCTCGATGTCCCCTCGATGTCCTCGTCCCCTGACCGCTGTGCCACCCTCTGATGGATGCTTTCTGGCAGGCGCTGGCAGCACAGGCAGCTGGAGCAGGGAGGGCTGCAAGATGACGCACAGGGAGGGCACCGTTATCTGCCACTGCAACCACCTCACCTACTTCGCCATCCTGCTGGTCCACATCCGTCCTTCCTCCTTCCTTCTTTCTTCCTTGTCCCTCCTATCCCCATGTTCCTTCTTCTTTCCCTCCTTTCTGCTTCCTTATCCTTCCTTCCCTCCCTTCTTCCTTCTTTCCTCCTTCCCTCTTCCTCCTTCCCTTGTTCTCTCCGTGCCTCTTCCTTTTCCCTCTTACTCCTTTCTCCTTTGTATTTCCCTCCTTCCTGCTTCCTTCTTCCCTCTTTCCTCTTCCCCTCCTTCCATCCTCCTCCTTCCTCCTTCCATCTTCCTCCTTTCCTCTTCCTTCCATCTTCCTCCTTTCCTCTTCCGTCCATCCTTCTTCCTTCTCCCTGGAAGTGTGAGTGTAGGTGGGTGTGGGGGGATACAGGGTGTATGGGGGGGTACAGGATGTGTGGAGGATGTCCTGCAGGAGAGGGTGGCCAGGGGGGCAGTTTTGCAGGGGGTCCCGCCCTTTCCCAGTGGGCAGGTGCTGCTGCGGGACATGCTCACCCTCTCCCTCCCTGCTCCCGGCAGCTCCCAGCGGGCACCCTGGGCCCAGCCCAGCTGGCATCGCTCACCCACAACAGCACCATCGGCTGCTCCCTCTTGGCTGCTGCCACCCTCTGCACCCTCCTGCTCTGCTGCTTCTTCAGGAAGAGTCGTGCTGTGCCGTGCCGTGCCATGCTGTGCATACTGTGTTGGGCTATGCCATGTCTTGCCATGACATGTCTTGCCATGCCATGCCACACCATGCTTCACCATGCCGTGCAGTGCCGTGCCACCCAGTGGGCACCCACCAGCACCCCCTGCCCTCCCCGCTCTTGCAGGCAGTGGCTGAGGGACAACACCACCAGGATCCACAGGCACCTCCTGACCACGCTGCTCCTGCTCAGCTGCAGCTTCCTGCGGAGCACAACTAGCTAGCTGGCTGTTAGCACCGAGGGGCTCTGCCAGGTCACTGCTGCCCTGCTGCACACCAGCCTTCTCTGCTCCCTGGCATGGATGGCTGCTGAGGCCTTCTACCTCCTCCTCCTCAAGGTCTACAACATCTACATCCAGCACTACGTCCTCAAGCTCTGCCTCTTCGCTTGGGGTGAGTGGGCACCGGCCCTGCCTGCATGTGCCTGTCCATGTGGCACAGCCCCACCCAGCCTGTCCCTGGGCCCGCAGGTCTGCCCACGCTGGCCGTGGTGGCTGTTTTTGTCTTCAAGGGACATACATATGGGTACCTCGCCATCAGCACTTCTGAAGGCTACAGGAACGTGACTATGTGAGTGGAGGGGCTTCCAGCTCCCCAGGCACCCTAGGCACACCAGGCACCCTGTGGACCCTGAGCACCCCTGGCACACCTTACTTCCTGGCCACCCCATCACCCTGGGCACAGCATGGGCTGCAGGCACAGCGTGCAGCCCAGGCACAGCATGCACCCTGGGCATGCCAGGCACAACAGGCACCCCGAACACACCAGGCATGCTGGGCGCTCCGAGTGCACCATGAACCTTGCATATACCAGGCACACCGGGCACATGGGACACACTGGGCACCCCATGCAGTGTGGGGACCTTGGGCGCCCCAGACACCCTGGGCAGATGGGGCTGTCTCAGGGCTGGGGCCAGCAGGAACCAGCCGTAGCTCTGCTGGGTGTCAGTAGCCGGCTGCCCGCCTCCATCTCACCATGCATGGGGGCACCCACCACTGTGCCTCCCATGCTCAGCTCCTCAGCGATGCTGGCCCTTGTCCCCAAGAGAGTCCCCCTCCACCAGTTGCTGGCTCACCAGCCCACTGGCCCATTATGCCACCCTCTGCTACGCTGGCATCATCATGCTCTTCAACACACTGGTGCTGGGGAGGGTGGTGATGATACTGCGGAGGATCCAGTGGCAGAAGGGGCAGGCAAGGAAGGACTGGGAGACAGTGCTTGGGCTTACCTGTCTGCTGGGTACCACCTGGGGCCTAGCCTTCTTCAGCTTTGGTGTCTTCATCATCCCCCAGCTCTACCTCTTCACCATCCTCAACTCCCTGTAAGGTCGGTGAGGAGCACCGAGGCTGGGGGGGGAGAGTTTTGGGTGGACGGGCACCCTGTGGTTTGGGAGCAGCAGGGTCCTCATCACCTTCCTGCTCCTCACAGGAGCTCGGTGCACCCATGGCAGTGACCATGTTGCCACCCACCCACAGGTCTCTTTGTCTCCCTCTGGTACATCACCATTTACCACCTGAGCAAGCCAGGCTCCATCAGCAACACCTCCAGATAACGCACCCTGACACTAGGGTGAGGGGCTGCAAGGAGAGCTTGGGGGCTGCTCCCTGAAGACACAGCGTGGCGCCATCCCCTGGGCTAGACAGCCAGCACTGTGGATGCCACAGGTTTCTTCAAGGGATGCATTTGGTCTCCAAAGCTGGGTTTCTGGGTGGTGGGAGCTGCTTGCTGCTGGGGGGCTGCAGCTCAGGGCTGCCCCAGTGACCACCCAGGGCAGCCCTGCCAGCTCGCAGCCCCTGCATTAGTAACCAACACTGACTTCACCTGCTGAAGGCTGACACTTCCCATTAAAAGCACTGTTTAATAGCCGATGCGGGTCTCCTTCACTGTCAGAGGAGCAGTGCAGCTCTGGATGGGGTCCCTCAGCCATCTGCTGTCACCCCGTCACCCCACAGTGGGCAGAGCCAGCAGCCACACTCTGCTTGTCGTTAGTGAAGGTCCCACTAGATGGCACAAGGTTTTTGAAGATGGTCTCAGCTCTGGACTGTGCACACGGCGGCATGTGCTGCCGGTGGTGCTGGTTAGTGGTGCTGGTTAGCGGTGCCAAGGAGCCCCCTGACAGCAGTGAGGGTACAATCTGGGCCCCCTTGGGTTGCTGCCACTGTACATCTCACAAGGGACAGGCAGAAGCAGGGGCTCTCTGGCTACAGCCCCCCAACCCATTTGGTGCCAGCATGGCTGTGGGCTGGCAAACGTGGCTGTAAGGCTGCTGCACCCCCAGACCACCCCGACCCCCCCTTTTCACCCACAACAACACCCCATCAAAAGCCCTCCTGCTTGCCCCAAAGCCAGTATGGGGACAGAGGCCACCCACATCCCTGGGTCGGCAGGAAAACAGGTGAGCAGGGCTTTGGCTTGGCATCGGGTGGATGTGCTGGGGCAGAGAAGAGGGTGGGAAGTGAACTGATAACTCGGCTTTCCTCCTGCTCTCCCTGAGGAAGGCAGACCCCAAGCAGAGCTCCTCAACGTGACCACTTTATTGGGTTTTAAGTGGTCCAGCCTCCGGGAAATAAATAGCAAGGACAAATCGCAGGGACTAAAACCATCAGTTGGAGGCAGTGAGTCAGGTCTAAGCCCCCACTGCATCCCCATACACCAGGCTTAACCCGGAACTGCACCCATGGTTTTTACCTTTCCTGGTGCCTGAGATTTTGGAGTTGGGCATCCTGCTCTACCTGCCAGGATGCAGAGCAGCATCACAGCACGGTGATGCCAGTATGGCCATGAATCCGCCCATGGGGACAACGGGGTCCCCACCGTCCCCATGCACGTAGCTTGCAGGGTGCACCAGTGAGGTGCCATTTACTCATGCTGCCCATTTCTGGTCCAGTGGCAGGGGACCAGGCATCACAGAGCAGCCTCACAGGGTGACATGTGGCCTGACTGCCTTCCCATGCCGCTCTGCCGAGTGCCATTTCCCTTTCTAGTTGTTTCCCGGGACCTGGTTCCGGGCAGTGGAGGGAGCTGCTGGCTATTGTTCTTTGTTCTGTGCACAAAGTGTGGCCAGTGCCGCAGAGTTTCCATCCCTCCTGCCGGCGGGCAGGACAAAAGCCTGTCCCGCCGGGCACCGTGGTGCCCCTGGCTTGTGGGTGCGCTCCCGCCGCATGGCGATGAGCTGTGCATGTCTCACTGCTCCGGCGGCTGACTTCAGCTATTAAATAAGAAGCCTTGGGGTTTGGTGAGGTGCCAAGTGCCTGGCTTGTCCTCCATGAGCTCCACGGTGGAAGAGTTGCATCCTGGCTGTGGCAGCTCCAGCCCCTGGGTTGCTCTTGGGGTGCACTTTCTGCGCCTCTTCTCCCCACCTTGAGATTTCAGGGCTTGTGGCGTGAGTCATGCTGGCTGCTGGTGCCTGCACATGCACCGATGCCAGCATGAGAATACACCTTGTTCCGTTATCCGGTGGCACTTGGAAAACAATATCTTGGTGGTTGCCTCACAGCAGCGGGAACGCAACACCTGCGGGGCCCAGTGGTCCCTGGGGAGCTGAGCCTGTTGGGGACCAGTGGGACATGGTGGTCTCTGGGGAGCTGAGCCTGTTGCTGGTGACCGGGGGCAGAAAAGGCCCTTTTCCAAACCGCACCATGCCAGGAGCAGCATCAAAACGCGCCCTGAAGTCCCCTGGGAGCACAGGGTGGGATCCAACCTCCCACCACCCCAGTGCCCCACAGCAATTGGGCTGCCTCACCCCAGCCCTAGGGCACTGTGGGCAGGAGAAGGGGAAGCTGGCCCATCTAACCTCCCCAAGGAGAAACAGTCCTGTTTACCTTCCCCTGTGCCTTATCTGGCAGGAGGCCAGCGCTGAGCTGCCAGAGGTGGTTGTTCCATCCTTTTTTCCCCAGGAAGGTGGCTTGGCGTCACCACGGTGCTTTAAGGCTTAAATCAAGTGGCAAAGCTCTGGAATTATTGCAAATACTTCACATTTTGGGGAAACAAGCAGCCGGGGCAGAGGCTAAATCCATTTGGGAATGGGAGGCTGGGGGCAGACCTCGGCTGATTTTGGGATCCACCTTTGGAATTTGGCTGCCAGGGAGCAGACAAGCCCAGTTCCCACATCCTGCGGGAGCATTCTCACCCAGTTTTCCCCCACACTTCCCTGACATCATTGTGGGTTTATTTGCAAAGCTGAGCCTAAACAAATAAGTCAGGTTTATTGCTCTCTCTACGGTTGGGTTTTATAACCCTGGCACCCAGTGAGTTGTTGTTATCATTGCTGCCTGACGGAGAAACCCCGACGTGGTGTGGGGGTGACTCACCTCCCCATTTGATGTGTTTTCGGGAGCAAGGCTGAGGACGTGGAGTAGTGGCAATGGGGGAATGGGAGCACCCACAGCTGCTCAAGGCAGCTGTGGAGCTTTCTCGGCCTCCCTGGGATCACCATTCCCTGATGTTCCCAAGGCTGCCCTGGCATCACTCACTGGATTTGGATGGGGGACCTCTGGGCATCCCCTCCCACCAGCACTCATCTGCTTCATCATCATCATCCTCACCCTTCTGCGCCATCCAGTGGAGTTGGGCTGAGCCAGGGTCTCCCATGGTCTCCCAAGGGGCTTTTAGGGGGGGTCTCGGCCCCCTGGGCTGGGGCTGTCACTGCTCGGGGCACTCGCCGGCTCGCCCTTGGCTTCAGACGGTGCCAGGGCACCTCTGCCCGTACTTGCCTTGCCTTGCCTTGGCTTCCAGCAGCCTGGCGAAATGTGCCCTTGCCTGCCGGAGCCTGCCCGTGCCATGGCCATGCCGCCACGCTCCTCCAGCATGCTCCTGCTCGTCTGCCGCCAGCACTGGGGCCTTGAGGAGCTTTTAGGGGTTTTAGGGGTTATTTTTTTTAGCTTTTACAATTTTAAAGAAGCTTTAGGAATTTTTTTTTTTTAACCTTTTAGGCACTTTAGGATCTTTTAGGGCTTGTAGGAACTTTAAGGGGCTTTAGGAGCTTTTAAAGCTTTTAGGAACTTGAAGGGTTTTTAGGATCTTTTCGGGCTTTTAGGAACTTGTAGGGCTTTAGGAACTTTTAGGTTTTTTAGGAACTATTAGGGCTTTAGGAACTTTTAGGGCTTTTAGGAACTTTAAGGGGTTTTAGGAGTTTTTAGAGCTTTAGGAGCTTTTAGGGCTTTTAGGAACTTTTAGGGCTTTGAGGGTTTTGAGGGGCTTTGAGGGTTTTGCCAGCGAGGCATCTTTTTGAGGAACCTTTACAGCTTTGAGGAAGTTTTAGGGGGTTTAGGAACTTTTATGGTTTGGTTTTCAGGAACTTTTAGGGCTTTGAGGAACTCCTCAGCTTGAGCAGTAAACCCTTATCAGGCCGAGTGAGTGCTGCCGGCCTGATCCCAAGGGCAAATGTACCTTGCAGGAGACAACACAAGGCTTTCCTCCCTCTCAGTGCTCAGCCAGTGACTTTGAAGACGGCAGCACA